TCCACAGGGATAATGTCAGCCGTCCGGACCCGGATGAACCAACTGGCCCACTCTCGATCCCCATCTTCTTCGTCATCGACAATAATAGCGTGGACGAATGGCACCTCAGGGTTAGCAGGCCTTGGTGATGAAAGGACCGGTATAGCCTGATGAGGTGGCTAAACATGAATTCAAGCCCAACCCTCTCTGTAAAGAATCTCATCATCAGCACCACTCGCCAAAACGATGGTTGTATCTATGCCAAAGTAACCCGATACTTCAAGAAAAAATCAAGCACAGCCCTATCAAGGGGGCCAAATGCGAAAGGATATAGGTATATGCTCAAGAATCCATCAGCGGATTCCGTAATACTCTTATCGGGGAAAACACCTACAGCGTAATCTCCTCGCTCCATCCGTAGTATCTCCTCACCATCTCCAGATGTTCCTCTCTTATCAAAGATACGGTCTTCGGAGCGAACTCCCACGGATCCTGAGCGCCGGGAGAAACACTTCCCACTCCCTGCCGAGTCGGCCCTGAAATAGTCGCCATGACAATGGTAAAATTGACAACCCAGAGCAAGGACACATGCCAACGCCTTTTGCGCCTGAAGAAATGAAGAACCCTATGCCCAAGCGGAAGGGTAGCTATCTAAAATAGTGAGGTCTTTCGAATAAGCCAAAATTGGCCCACATATATGCGAGAAGCAACGACGACCCGCATACCTGGAGTAAGCCCCAAGAAGACAACAACCTCAATACATATCGATGGGGTGATACCCGACCCTAGGGGAATCCATCAACAAGAGGCCAGGACTCAAGGAGTCAACTGTATTGTCTTCAGTCTCAAGACAGTGTCTGACCTCGAAGACCTCCGCCAAAAAAGAAGTCGGGCTTCAGGAAGTTTTCAACGCCATCACTCGACTCAAGACGGTACTCGGTCTCATGGTTTCCTTTTCTAAAAAGAGAAATAAGCACGCGAAGCTCCAATCACAAAGGCTCAACGAAGGCCCGAGGCAGCGCCTGAGTACATGCAACCTCTCAACAGAAGTCTATCCTATATGCTTTAAAAAAGCTATCTGCATCAAGATCAAAAGGGACCCCAGGTACCCAAAGAAGACCTTCAATCAGGATAACATTCTCGAAAGCTCCGAAACTAGGCGTATTATCTCCATGCAACTCGGAGGGCCTGACAGCCCGAGCCCATCAGATCAATTCAGGCTTAGTCCGAGGTACGGCGATGGGATCGAAAAGGAGCCATGTAGATCAACAAAAGATCAGAAAGAATGCTCGTATCCGAGTCAGATATCAGCGATCGACAATAAATGAAGACATTCAAAAGGCCTCGAAGGGCACGAGAGCATGCAACTATGAGGCAGGAATCGAAAACAGAAGTCAATGAAGTATATTCATATTCATAAAAATCCATGTACAACAGCCCTCGAGGGGTCCTTACATACAATTAAAAAAGACTACAAAGGTTCTCTACGCGTAAAACGGAGGAACGAAAGGATGTACATGTGATGAAACCTGAGATCCCGGTCCATCCTCGAAAACCCATCTCCGGTATCAACATCCTCGAGCACCACCCCCTCGAGCACACATCGTCAAGGGCGATTCCTTCGATGGCCACCTCCTCTAGGTTCCCAGCTTAATCCCCCGGGGGATTCCCGCTGGAGAAGATGAAGAAAAGGAAAATAATGGGATGCAGAGGAGGCAGAGAAAAGAGACATGACCCGCCGAAGCCAAAGGTTGAAGATTCGGCGGGCCCCAACCTCGACGGCCGATAGTGTATTTTTTTCCTTGGGAAAGAAAAAACCCAAGGGATGAAGGGCCACACCAGGCCTCGGTAGGAGAGTGTGCAGCGGTGCATAGTCCAAGAGGCTATCTACATATGGGGAAAATCGACTCTCCGTCCGTCACCATCTCGGGCCAACACAACAGCTACGACAACCATGTCAACGACCACAACAGCAACAGGACAGCATGATTGTGCTTGATAAAAGGAAGCCCCGACAAAGGACCACAACACAATCTAAGGGAGTGCCGCCAAACGGCCTTGAGGCCATGAACCCCAAGCATGATGTTCAAGGATAAAAGAAGATGAGAAGAAGGAATGGGAAAATAAGCCAACGAAGGCACTAGGATAGGAAAAACAACGCCAAAGCACCCCTATTTATAGGGGGTTAGGACATAGTCATCGAGGCTTTGGAAGATTGACCAGTGGGCGCAATTACTGTATTCTTGAGAAACTGAATCGACGGCGGTACAATCACCTTGGAGAACGGGAATCGGTAGTGCATTGAATGAAGTCGAAATAGACAAATTTGTGGTATTTCTCGGTTGCCACAAAAGCTCGTGCCACAGGTTGCATCATTAGTGTGACGTCTCCGTACGGAGCTCGAGGAGTCAAGTGTCAGAATCATTTCCCTTCGCTTCATTTTGGAAAACGCGGAGACTATCTGTATGCGGCAAAAATCAGATGACTTATTTTCTTGCTATCAAGTCATTTTGAAGGGATGCCTCGAGACCCCGAGGACATGGAGACACGACTGAGTCCCCTCCCTCGGGGATCATCGAGGCCCGACTCAGAGAAGACGGAGATCGCAGCCAGAACATAGGGGGAAGCTCCCAAGGCACATGACTAAGTCTGACAGGGTCGGCCTATCCAGAGCCTATGTTGAGGCATCGCGTCAAGCCATCCCATCTCCATACTTTATAATTAATGCCCATGTACTAGTAACCGAGTTCCCCTCCTATATAAAGGGAACTCACACTACCTTATATGAGGTTGATGTTGCTCCATTTCTCCACAAGTGCAATAATATCTCTCTCTCCCTTCTTTCTAAACTCGCCCTTTCTCATTGGCCCGAGGCCACCTTAATATTTATCGCTTTCTTACTTGTTCTTCATTTTATTGCTTGGTATTGGCCATAAAGAGCCTCGTTTAATCATATCCTTAACTTTTATCCCATTCCCGACTGTCCCGATACCTCAAGCTCGATTCAGACATCGGCCCCGAGGCCCCCATCGACCGATCCTACGCACGGACAACAGGTTCCTCGGCTCGCTCAAATCCTTGTTTTAGCCTGTATCCCTTTGGTAAAACAAACCCGGGCAGTAAGCCTTCAGTTTTGGGCATTTTTAACTTGCATTTCATCATTAAACTCCACATTCTTAGCACCATCTGCTCTAACAACTAGCTCGAGAATAGATCACGTATTTTTAGAATCCCATTTACAAATTTAATTATTGTTGCCATTTTCACGATAAACATATAGATTGACACTAATTCATCACTCAAAATATCAAGATCAATATTTTCAGTCAAGAAAGTAGTAATAAAATCAGGACCAAAGCTAGCTTCAATTCTACGGCTCTTACTTCTTCTAAGTTCATTTTCATGCTCATTAGCAGTAACACTAGAAGAAGGCACAATATGAGAATTAACAGATATATATATGTAGAAGCATTATTAGGCACAACACTAGGCACATTATTTTTCAATGGAAAAACATGCTAAAATTTTTTTGCTTCTCTAGATTCACAAATAGAACTATCATTCAAAGACATAAATCTATATGCAATACTGTTTTGAGCATAACCAATGAAAATAGCATCAAAAGTTTTGGATCCAACAGTTACTTATTTAAAATCAGGTAGACCAACCTTAGCCAAACACTCCCATACTTTCAGAATTTTCAAGTTAGGGGCAAACCCTTTCCATAACTCATACGGGGTATTATCTAACTTCTTATGAGGGACTTTATTAAGAACATAACATGCAGATAAAACAGTTTCCCCCCCACATATTACCAGATAAACCCGAACTCAAAAGCATAGAATTCATCATTTCCTGAAGGGTTCTATTTTTCCGTTCGACTACACCATTTTTTTGGGGAGTATAGGGAGCACTAACCTCATGTATAATACCATTTTTCTCACAAAAGGCTTCTAGAGTATTAGTACTATATTCACCACCCCTGTCAGACCTAAGCCTCTTGATTTTTCTGTCTAATTGATTATCTACTTCTGCCTTGTATATCAAAACCATGCTTTCAGCTTCATCTTTTGAATTAAGAAGATATACCTTAGTGTATCTAGAAAGGTCATCTACAAATGTGATGTAGTATTTCTTTCCACCCTTACTAACAGTATTTTTGAAATTTGCTAAGTCTGAATGTACTGGTTCAAACAATTATGTTTTTCTACTAGTTACATTTTTAAAAGGCTTTTTGGTATGTTTTGCTTCTACACAAACAAAACACTTAGAAAAATTATCAACATTAATTGCAGGAATTAATTCCATTTTTCTAAGTCATTTAATAGAAGCAATATTAACGTGACCTAGTCTACCATGCCACAAATCAATAGACTCAGCAATATAAGCAGAATTAAAAGTACTAGCATTAGTAGTAATATCTTGAGCAATGATCAGTAAAAATAAACCCCCACCAAGGTAATCTTTCCCACCAAAGTCTCCTCCATGAGAAATAAAAACTTTATCAGATTCAAAAATAACTTTAAGACTTGCTTTGTTGAGAAGTGCACGAGAAACTAAGTTTCTACGAAAGGAGGGTACCTGCAAAACATTGTTCAAGGCTAAGATTTTTTTAGAAGTTAATTTAAGGAGAATTTTCCCTTTACCCATAACTTTAGCTGTAGTGGAGTTATCCATGTAGACACACTCGCCATCAACAGATTCCTCAAAGTCGTGAAACAACTCCTTGTTGGCGCAAAGGTTCCTTGAAGCACCTGTGTCCAATATCCAGTCAGTTTTGTTAGCCACCATGTTCGCCTCAACAACCACATCAGCAATGACATCACCCCCTCAGTAAGGTTAGCTTGGACCAGAGATTTTCCTCCAATCTTTGAGCTTTGTCCTTGTCTCTGGTTGCACTGAAAAGCCTTGTGACTAATTTTGATGCAGACATAGCAAGGTCCTTTCAACTTTTGAATATGTCCCTCCGACTTATTGGAGTAATTCTGCTTCTTCACTTGTCCTTTCTTCTGACCATTCTTCTATTTTCCTTTAAACCTGTCTTTCACAAAAGTACTAGAAAATTCCACAAGGTTAGCTTTAGAAGAATTAAGAGAGAGAGATTTCATCTTATCCTTAAGCAGTTCAGATTCCTCATCTTTGAGACGGTTTGCTTCCTCAGTCCTCATGTGACTGATCAATTCTTGAAGAGTTAAATTTTTCTTCTTGTGCTTTAGTTGATTCCTGTAATCACTCCAGGAAGGTGGAAACTTTTCAAGCAGAACATTAGCCTGAAGAATCTCACACATCTCCATGCTTTCGTTCAAAACATCAGCAGTCAAGTTTTCATACTCGTGAACCTGTTCCATGATTGGCTTATCATCAACCATCTGAAACTTGATCCACTTTTCAATGACATACTTCTTTTTCCCGGCATCATCAGGACCATATTTTTTCTCCAAACTATCCCATATGACTTTAGCAGATTTATAATTTATAAACAAATCAAATAGAGGGTTAGTCATATGATTAAGCAGATGTCCTCTCACTGTTTTATTATCCTTTTCAAATTTCTTCTTAGTAGCATCATCATCAACAATAATATTGGCAGAATTAGAATTATCAGTAACAATATCCGTAGGAGGATCGTTAAACAAAATATAATCAACTTCTAATTGTTCAAAGAAAATTAAAAATTTCTGGGACCAACGCTTATAATTGTTTCCATCTAAAGGCTCAAGCTTTGATAGATCAGGAAGTGTTTTGTTCAAAGTGGTGGCCATTAGTCAATATTATATATGAAATCGCTTTCAAATTGTAAGGAAAATGAGTAGATAATATTGACTAAGAACAAGAAGGAAAGAAGAACAACTTATAAAAAATACTGTGTTGTGGCAAGCCACTGCCTTAAAAGCGATTTCGGCCCGACTGGGTGCAAATCGTTAAGACCGATCGCTCCCCAAGGTTCCACAGCACCTCCAAACACGTGCACTCGTGGCTGGAAGTTTAGAATTTGCACAAACAGTTGCCCAGAAAGAAAAAAAGATGAAGGTTTTTTCTGTAGTTGTTATAGAAATTAAAATATTGTAGGAAGAAAGTGATGAGTAGCAATATGAATTATTGATTAAGAATTGAGTAAATATGATGGCTAATGATCATCTTATTTATAGGCAATTAGGGAAGTTGCATGCATGACAAGTGTGTAGAGTCTTTTAACACTTGTCCAAATATATTAATCCATTTGACAAGTGTACCTAGTCTTCCATGCATGTAGACACATGGTAGATTTGCATAGCCACTTGTCAAAGCCATTCAACACTTGGCTTTAAGGCTTCATGCAAGAAGCCACTTGGAAATAGATTAAAAAATAGAAAGAGCCATGACTATTGGTTGTAGATGGATTTTCAATAAGAAAATTTTAACTTTGCATTCTAAATAATACCAACACTTTCTAATGATCTGATTGTATAAATATTTTTTCTATATTTAATCTGTAAGGGGCCGTTTGATAGGATACATTAGAGAAAATAATGCATGCATTAATTAGCTTTTGGTATACTAATCATTTTTTAGGTACACTTTTTTAACCTATGTATTACTAGCGCAAATATTAATTATACAACCTATTTGGTATTATCATATGTATAACTAATACATAACAAATCATAGTATTAGCAATACCAAGACTATTAATGCATGCATTAGCATGATTAAAGATAAAATTATCCTTAAAATCCCTTAAAGGTAAAGAATATGGAGGATATTTTTATAAACAACTAATTTTCTTAATGCAATGCATTTTAATTTTAATACACCACATTAAATAGTGGATAAGAAATAATTATTTTTGTATTACTAATCTATATATTACTAATTATTGCAATACTAACACAAGTTATTCAACACTATTCTTATACACCCTCTCAACGACCCCAAAAAACATAAACTCATATTTTATCAGGATTTTAAAATTACAAAATTATATCACTAGCTGACTTCCCCGTTAGTTAAGAAAATGATCTAGTTTGTCTAAACTGTATAGCTTTTGTTATACTCCCTCCGTTTCAATTTATGTAAACTTATTTAACTGGGCACGAAGTTTAAGAAAATAATGATGATTTTTGAATTTGTGGTGTAAAATGAAGTACATATATTTTGTGTGGCTATAAATTATTGTATAAAGGTAAATTGTTTCTAAATAAGAAAATGGATCATTCTTTTTGGCACGGATCAAAAAGGAAATAGATTCACATAAATTGAAACGGAGGAAGTATAATTTAAATAAATGGGATACAAATATATATCTTTTACTAACAAAAAGAAGACAGGGGTGGGGCCAAATTTCAAATGGGCAAATGGCAATGGAGTTGGGATGTTGGAGAAAAAATTAAAGTATATATTATTGTAATCACATATACGCATTTCCCTTTCATGACTATTCATTTGATATGTGTTCCATATCTGAATGGTTTTGAGACTGATATGGCATTGAGGTAGAAAGCAATGTGCATTGCAAAAATTGGACAAACTGGACCTCCACCCCCCTCAACCATCTTTATTTGCTCCATTATTATCTTCCTCTTAAGCTTATTGGATAAGTATATTGTTGTAGATTGATTTAACATGGCTCGTGCCTGTGGGTCATTTCTTGTTTTTGTTTCTACTCACACAAAATTAGCGACGGACAAATTCTGTAACTAAACTTGCTAAATATAACATTTTTTTCTTCTTAACACTTCAATAAATTTTTGGCACTTCTATAAAACTTACTAGTTACTACTCTCTTCGTCAAAATTTAGCTAGGTAGCATTTTTTGCCTTTCGAGAGACAAGTTAATTAATCTTTGAAGCTAAATTAGATTAAATTAACTCAATATTTTAAAATAAATTTAGATATTTAAAAACTATACAAAGAACTATAAGTTGCAACTCTTCAATAAAAATTACATTTGAAAATGGAACAGAAGGAATATTTGATAAGTATGTATTATCGACAAGAATGCATGCAGTAAAGATGTTTATTTTTCATTTGTTTTTCAGAAACAGTTAACAAGGTAATACTGAAAGTCTAATGGTAATACAGAAAGTCTAATATGGACGTGATTTGGTTCTCTGAAATTTGAATTTGTAAAATTGAAGTTTGAATTCTACTATCATTAGTGGTGATTCATGACCAACTATTTTCTTTGGGTCTAGAATAAAGAAATTAGTATTCAATTCAGTCAATGTAATATAATTATGCCTCATTGATATATGCTGTATAGTGCAACTTGCTTACCTTTTTGTACACACACATTCAAGAAAACCTAAATATTACAATATTTGAACATAAGTTCAAAAATTACACTATATGCAGTTTTAACTAAAAATAAAACAGAAGTAGGGAAGCTGCATGGTAAAAGAATGGAGGACATTACTTTTGCAGCTTGATGTATGCAGAAGAAGGTCGAGTGAAAAAACAGAGAATTATATGGCAATATTCCAGCACAAAAGTTCTGGAAAAAAAAAACTTCTGAGTTTCCAAAGGAATATTATTTTATTTTCTTTGTTAAACAAAAACAAGTTGCACTCGAAAGAAAAAAGGAAGCAGCAGCACCATGTGACGCAGAAAAAGAATTTTATACCGTAACTAATAAGACGTCCAAAGGGGAGTCTCAGAATAACGGTAAAATTATTTCAGTGTGACGTATAAGTAACGAGTACAAGCCATAAAATGAGTTATTGATATTTGTATTAGGGTAGACTTCTTACCTTATACATTTCAAAATACGATCTTTCACCAAATCCAACATAAATATGAAATATTTTATGCAGCGATCTACTCTTTTAACTAATAAGAACTCCATAAAGTTGATTAATTTTCCTTTTAGCAGAAAAGTCCCTTTACTCAGGCCACAGAAAAAGAAAAGAAAGAGAAAAAAGAAAAAGAAAAAATGAAAAGAAGTGCGAACAACCCATTCCATTGAATGGTTTTGTTGGAGACCAGTCAACGGTCAAATGCAAGAGGATCATAAATAAATAGTAGAACTCCATGCAGCTTAACTAGCTAAGCTAACTTCCAAAGCCAAGCCTAAAGTCACTTCATTTTATATTACTATAATCAGCTATGGCAATCGTAAGAAAAAAAAACTTTAACTGCACTAAGTATCACTTAATTAGCAAATATTATGTGTTTTTATTTACACTTATTTCATTTAATTATAGTTAGTTCATATTACCTTTTATCTTCATATATTACATTAAATAATTCTTTGATACTATCATTTCAGTGTAGAACAATTATATTATTCTTTCCTCATCATAATTCCAGTCCTCTCACATTTAGTTTTTTCCTATCCACCCATCTAATAACCAATATTCACTCGCACAATATAAAGCTCATTAACAAAAAGTATTTTATGTCGTTTTTTTTTAATTTTCAGGGCTTGAACTAATTACCTCTAATGAAAGTGAAGTGAGCCTATTTCATCCCACCCCACCAATAATAAGTTCAATGAATAAAATTATGTCCTAATAATAATATAAAGAGTTTAAAGTAAAATTATTTATAAAATATAAAAAAATTTATTTTTCTTTGAACAAGACAAAAAAAGGAATATTTAGTTATAGCTAATGTTTAGACATAAAAAAATTTTGAAGTTATGTTTGGACATATATTTTAGTTATAAAAAATTAAAATTTTATGAGCGAAAGAAAAAAAATTATCCAAAAATTAGTTTGGAACATGAATTTCTTTTTTGCAATTTCTTTATGAAACTAATCAATTTTCATGAACAAATATTTTTTTCCAGCAAAATTATGTCCAAAACGGAAGCACAATCATTTGATACTCCTATAATTTAATGTGAATATTTTTTTCAGTCACTTTTGTTTGGCATATATACTAAAAATAGTTTTATTTTTACTCGGCACTTCACGCATATTAAGAGAAGACAATTGTTTTACCCACAGATTTATTATTCTTTTCAAATCCGACAAAATACGTATCAATTAATATGAGTATCATAATAAATTATGCACTTTATTTATTATTTTTTAACTTATATAAAAAGTCAAAATGTACAGTGACGGAAAGTATATGTCATTGTGAATTTTTTTTCCTCTACCACAATTCCACCTCGTTTCACATTTACCACAGTAGTGAGAAAAGGATTTATTGGAAGAAGGAAATGGGTCCCCTTAAGAAAGGACCATAGAAATGGTGGTAATAATTTTGAGGAGGCAAAAGCTATGATTTGTGATAATTGGCTACCCCCCCTCACACTTCTTCTCATCATTGACCCTTTGTGCAAAAACCACACCCCATATTGCACTATTCTAAGCAGTACTTTTTTTTTTGTCCAAATAATTGAAAAATAAAAGTAAAAGGGCAAAAATTGCATTGTATCCTTTCTATATAAGACCTTCATTTGCACTTCCTACTCATATCACTACAAATACAAAGTTCCTTCTTCTCTCTCTCTCTCCCAATATCTCCCCATTAATTCTCATCCGAAACCCTGAAAATCCTCATTTCTCAAGAAACTGTTGAAGAAAAATTAAGCACAAATCAGAAGAATTTGAAAAGAAAAGAAAATGATGGTTGAGAAAGAAGATTTGGGGCTGAGTCTTAGCCTCAGTTTTCCAGATAATAATAACAAGAATAGTACAACCAATAATCCTTTTCATCATCAGCTCAATCTCATCCCTTCATCTTCACCTTTTAATCTCTTTCACAAAACTTCTTGGACTGATTCTTTCCCTTCTTCAGGTAATTTGTTTTTACTACTACTTATTTACTCTTGATCTATGCATATTTTCTCAAATCTCATCTTTTCTTTATATAATCTTCAGATCTGGTTAAATCTCACATTTCTTTAAACATTCTCCTTTTTATCTACCCTTTTAATAAAAAAGTTGGAAGAAAAAAATGAGTCTGTTTTTGTCAATTAAAAAGTCTCATTCTTTAAAGGGTGTTAGATTTTCCAATAATATGTAAAAAAATAAAATAAAAATTCATTATCATTGAAGTTTAAATAGTATAGTAGTTACCATTTTCACTATATTATCGTTAATAATTGTTACAGAGATTTGCTTGTATTAATTTATGTTATAGATGATTTGGTTCTGTAAATATTTTTTATTATGTCTTGTGCATGGAACTTAAACTCGTACTGATTTACAGATCGGAGCTCGGAGATATGCAGAGTGAAGACAAGGACATTTCTGAAGGGAATAGACGTGAACCGGCTGCCGGCGACGGCGGACGCCGATGAAGAAGCCGGCGTATCATCACCTAACAGCACCATTTCGAGTGTGAGTGGAAATAAGAGAAGCGAAAGAGAGACAAATAACTGTGAGGAACATGAAATGGAAAGAGTTTCTGATGAAGACGACGGAGAAACTTCTAGAAAGAAACTTCGGCTTTCAAAAGACCAATCTGCCATTCTTGAAGAAACATTCAAAGAACACAACACTCTCAATCCTGTAAGTTTTATTAATTTCTTGTAACAATATCAGTTTTCAGGGGTATTTTCGACATTTTGTTTGGTATAGAAATTAGATTTGACTTGTGGTCTGTTTACTTTGGTTTTTGCAGAAACAAAAGCTGGCGTTGGCTAAAAGACTGGGATTAAGACCTAGGCAAGTTGAGGTCTGGTTTCAGAACAGGAGGGCAAGGTGAGATAATTTTGTCTTCTTTCTAGGGTATTTCTGAGATTTTACTCCACTTCCATGAGAATAATGATCATAGTGATATTGAAAATGATAGCAATAATGAATAATGGCCATCCTTTTTAAAATAAAATAAAAAAAAACTATTCGAACGGATTTGAGAATTGTTCAACATAGTAAGTTGTTGAAGTCATATCTATTTAGATTTGGAATTTAACGTACCATTAAAAGTATTGTTAAACTAATATTAGATAAATTAACTGTTCATAACTCAAAATAAGGCACACAATATGCTAATTCATTTGGAGTTTAGCTGCAGTATATAGTTATATACAAACAACACCAACGAACCACCAAAGGAGACTTCTCCTTTCTTAATCAGAGGTTTTGGCTTCGAGCACTGGATATGAAAAAATATTTGGTAGGAAGCGCTTCCCCGAATGGGGTCCTACGCGATGCGAATTCGAATTGGACACTGGCGGGAAACCCAAAAAAAAACACCAACAGAAGCCGTAGTAGTATTTCTACAGGTGGGGTCGGAGAAGTATAATATGTACACCTGCCTAGAGCCTAGTAAAGTTAGAGAGTGTTTCTAATAGACTCTCGGCTCATATTAGGTGCAATATATACACGGTTAAGAATTTTTTTTAACACTAGCCAGATCATTAAATGATATATATGACAAGTAATTGTTCATATTAGTGGAATTAGTAATCTGTAAAATGAGTATTTGCTACAACGAATTAAGATACGGTAATAGTGGAGAAAATTCAATCCAGTGAATACAAGTAAAAATCATTTAAAAATAGTGTTTTTATAAAGAATGGAGGTTGAAGTTGAATTGTTGACTAATGGGGTTGATGCAAAAATTGATGAACAGGACAAAGTTGAAGCAAACAGAAGTTGACTGTGAATTCCTGAAGAGATGTTGTGAGAATTTGACAGAGGAAAACAGGAGATTGCACAAGGAAGTTCAAGAGTTGAGGGCACTTAAGCTTTCACCTCAATTCTACATGCAAATGACTCCTCCTACCACCCTCACCATGTGCCCTTCATGTGAGCGTGTCGCGGGACCACCAACCGTATCCGGACCCACATCTACACATGTGGGCCCGCCCCAACATCGGCCCATGCCATTTAACCTTTGGGCCAACACTCCAAAATCCCTTCACCCAAGATCTTGAGTTTAATATAATGCAAGGGCAATTTGGTCAATTGGACACTCATCAAAACCCCTCTTGTGGAAAAATATGAGATGGCAAACTGTAATAGAGTACTAGTATAATGTTTGTATGTGAAAATATGAATATAGGTCTATGATATGGTTGTTGGAAATGAGGGATTTTATTTGTGGGTCAAAAGAATCTGGTTTCTATTATTGACCCTATCCTTTTTCTTGTATCGACAAATTAGGGTTAGTCTTTTTTACTCTCTTTAGTACTAATGGTTTCCTTCCCCACAACTTTTAGATATAAAGAAATGAATAGAATTTTGTTTACTATAATTGAAAAGTCTACCTTCTAATCATTTACTTTTGAAATGTTTGCATATTCAATTCAAATGATTATTATTACTTAGAGGCTAGATTATAAAGCAAGGAGACAAAACATGTACAGGAAACAATATTTATTGGTGTTCGGTTCCTCATTTTCTGGGTTTTGTTGGTTTATTGCTTCTTGCTTCGTGAAGCTGCTGTTTCTTCTCGTGGCAGGGTAGTGTTTTTTTTCCTTCTCACTATAACCTGTAGTTGGACTAAGAATAGGCAACTTTCAAACCAGATATGTTAATCTAGTCTATACAATAGTGGGGTAACTAAATTTATTTTGTTAAATTCTATTGATGGTGTAAGTTTTTCTTTGGGTTGTTAGTTTGTTAACTTGAGTAAGTGCCCGTTTGACCAAGCTGTTAAAAAAGTTTATTTTAAGAGTGCTTTTGACAATATTTTTAAAAAAAGTATTTTTGCAAAGTAGGAGTTTTTATTTTGCCAAATCATTGAGCAACACTTTCTACTAGCAAATAATGTTTGGTCAAGCATTCCCAAAAGTATTTTTGAGTATTAGATTACAAAAAAGCACTATAAAGGTTGAGTTGCAATTAATATTATCTAAAAGAGATAAATGACTTTAAATGTAACGACCCGATCAGTCGTTTGAAGCTCTAGCATGTCGTTCGGCAGTTTGAGGCCATGCGCAGCTTCACTTCAGGTATTATGACTTGTACGCGTAGTCGAAATTGAATTTCAGAAAGTTAAGAGTTGATTTAGAAAGAAAATTCCCGTTTTAGAAGCTTTAAGTTGAAAGTAAGGTTTGATTTATGAGTAAATGACCTCGGAATCGGGATTTGAAGGTTCCAACAAGTTTGTATGATGATTTTGGACTTGAGCGTATGTCCGGATCGGGTTTTGGATGACCCGGGAGCGTTTCGACGCCAATCGTGGAAGTTAGCATTTTTGGAAGAATTTCATAAATCTAGGTTGAAGCGCATTTTAGTGTTATCGATGTCCATTTGGGATTTCGAGTCTAGGAATAGCTCAGTATGGTGATTCTAGTATTGGGAGTGCGATCGGAAGTGAATTTGGAGATCCGTAGGTCATTTTGGAGTCATTTGGCTAAAGTTAGAAATTTAAAGGTTTTTGGAAAATTTGACCGGAAGTGAACTTTTTGATATCGGGGTCGGATTCCGATTCCGGAAGTTGAAGTAGGTCCGTAATGTCAATTATAACTTGTGTGCAAAATTTGAGGTCAATCGGACGTGATTTGATAGGTTCCGGCGTCGGATGTAGAAGTTTGAAGTTCTAAAGCTCATAAAGCTTGGGGTGTGATTCGTGATTTCGGTGTTGTTTGATGTGATTTTAGGCGTCGAGCAGGTCCGCGTTATGTTATGGGACTGGTTGGTGTGATTGGATGGGATCCTGGGGACCTCGGGTGGATTCCGAGTGGTTAATGGATCGAATTAGAGTTGGGAGGAAGAGCTGAAGCCTGTTGTCCTCTGGTGTAACCGCACCTGCGAGGTCTTGGCCGCAGGTGCGGAGCCGCAGAAGCGGGAGTGGCTGGGCTAGGCTGGGACCGCAGATCCGGTCATCTTGCCGCAGAAGCGGGACCGCACCTGCAGAAGGAAGGGCGCAGATGCGGAAGTTGAGGGCCTGGAAGAGGACCGCAGAAGCGGATTGTGGGTCGTACCAGCGGAACCGCAGAAACGGTCAAGTGACCGCAGGTACGGAAATGCTAGAGGCAGTGAGGTTCTTTTAAATCGGGAGTTAGGTTCATCTCAACCCCATTTCTTCCATTGGAGACGATTTTGGAGCAACTTTGAGGTGCCATTTTCAACACCAAGCATGAGGTAAGTGGTTTATGTCAGTTTTTAGTTAAATACATTAATTTTGGATAGATTTTAGCATGAAAATTGGTAGAAACTTGGAGTGGAGGGGAAAACCTAGAAAATTGGTAATTTCGGATTTTGACCACGATTTTGGACATGAAATTAAGAGTAAATTACATATTTAAGTTCGTGAGGTTATAGGTAAACTTTATCTTCAAATTTTTTTGGAATCCGGGCATGTGGGCTCGAGGGTGTTTTTGTCAACTTTTCGATCGAGGTTAGGGATTGTTATAAATTGGATTATTATGAGTAATTGAACATGTATTGATGGGTTTACATAATTATTGGTTAGCTTTAGAAAGTTGTGCATAAATTTGAGTCTACGGAAGGGCGTGGAATGCCGGTTATGGAACTCTGGAGCGAGGTGAGTTTCCTTTCTAATCTTGTAAGAAAGAATTGTCCCCGTAGGTGAATTAATTGGTTATGTGCTTCTATTTGTGGGGGCTACATACGCACGAGGTGCCGAGAGGTCGTGCGTAGCTACTATTATACTTAAGTCAGGGTAGTCTAGGACCCAAAAGCATGTTTTACTTGAATTAATTGTAACCTTGTGGACAGTTTAAATTGCTTAAATCATATTGAATTAGTAAATAAATTTTCTAAAAGGTTTAACCTCATTTTCTTAACTGTTAAAGGAGAAATTTCCATTTCCTTGGATAATTGTTCCTTGATGACTTCTAGATTGACTGTCGATGTGTGTTTATTTTTGGAACAGGCCGAACGCCTCAGCAGATTAAATAGATGCATCTATGGTTCGCGTCTTTCGACCCTCTGACAGTGCACAGTTTAAGTAATTATTGGATCGGGCCGTACAACCTCAGCATGATTTGTGTATGCTTGTATTTGCTTAATTTTCAAGTTGTAAATGATGATATTGCCTCCCTAGCTTGAGATAAATGTATAAATGATGAAAAACGAATTTGAAAAAAAATAATTTGGAAATTCCCTATTAGTGAAAGAACTGTTTACTTGCTTCATGCTATTGAGTTACAACCACTTTTCATAAAAATCTTTGATTTTTTTATATTATTAATATATATTATTATTGGACCACTAGCAAGTGTCGAAGTCTAACTCTCGTCTCTACTTCTTCGAGATTAGACGGGATACTTACTGGGTACACGTTATTTTCTTACTCATGCTACACTTGCTGTGCATTTTTATTGCACCGGGACATGTACGTTTAGTGGCTTAGTTTGGTGCGGCTGCATGGTAGATACGGGGACTTAAGTGAGCTGCACTTCACGAGACGATTCACAGCCAACAGAGTCTCCTTCAGAGTATTGTATTATATTTTCTTTCTACTGTCCAACTTGTTTTCCGGACAGTTATTGTATTACATTATTTCCTAGAAATTGCTCATGCACTTGTGACACCGGATTCTGGGATGTCTATGGGATTATTCGATATTTTTAGATTGTTAAAGGTATTATTATTTATTCAGTAAAATTTAATTATTGTTTAATGTTTAAAAGAAATAATTTCAAAAATATTAAAACAAGAAATTACTAGTTATTTGGTGTTAGCTTGCTTGACAGTGGTGTCTGGCGCCATCACGATCCTTAGTGGATTTTGGGTCGTGACAACATGGTATCAGAGCACTAGGTTCCCTTTAGCTCTCACGAGTCATGAGCAAGTCTAGTAGAGTCTTGCGGTTCGGTACGGAGACGTCTGTACTTATCTTCGAGCGACTACATGACTGTTAGGAGCACTTCCCTTCTTGTTTCCTCATCGTGCGATTTGATTACTTTGAGGCTTATGACTTTGTTTCATTCCTACTCGTTCTTATGCAACGTGAAGCGCTCATTATGAATTAGGAATTGAGGAATTGTAATGGTACTACAGATGTGGTGCGGGGTATTTTTCCCTGCATATATGGTTGGACTATTGTTGTCGCCTTGCAGAATGATATTCTGTCATTTTAGCTTCGTAGCTGTACTTCTGAGAACTTTGAGGCTATGCACAGGTTTCTATGATGCTCGTGAATGGTAATCACACGGTATTGAGGGGATGGTGGAATGCTTGTCCATGTGTGGAAGCAATGTATGACTTGGAAGGAGGTTTTCTCAGTGCATGATTCAGAGATTCGGTATTGTATTTCCGACGAAGGAAAGTCAATCGGACTATGAATGATTAGGTTTGGGTTTATGGAGTAATGAGACTCGGTGTTTTCAAGAGTGGTGGAATTTCATCTGTGATGTGGTGTCATCATCCTTGATTAAATATGTTAAGTTCGCCGGTGTCATAATCTTCTATAAATCACCTGTGGGATAGGATATTGTGAGATAGTATTGGAGAAGCGACTGTCAGAGATTAGGGGGTGCGGTGGTTCAGGTTTGAATCGATGTTCTAATGTCGACGGCTCGTAAAAGGATGATCTTTGATAATAAGCGAAATCTGGGTGATTTAGCTATTGTTTATGCTTCTGCTTGATGATATTCCAATGATATATTGTGATTAATTGATGAATTATGGGCTTTAATAGTGAATTGTATGCATTTCAGGTAAAGAAGCGTATATTACGTAAATCAAATATGATTGGAACCATTTTGGAGCAATAAATGAAAAACCCCTCGGAATTAATTATGGTGGAAGAACAAGAAAAGAATCAAGAATATGGGACAACTGGACTAGCGCGGTCAGGTGCGCGGCCGCGCTAGTCCAGATTTCGGGAAAGGTTGTTTAAAGGGGTAAAATTGGAATTTCTTCTTAATCCCACTCAATTTACATAAAGCAAGAACTCCATTATTGGAGTTAAGCTGATGGAGAGTGGAAGATCTGATTTTTAGAGAGAGAAGGAGGAGGAAACTCATCTTCAACTATCAAAAATCAATAGGAACATCAACTTGGAGCAAAGATTGAAAGAGTTTTTCTAAACCTTCTCTTAGTATTTACGTATATTATGTTTAAAGATTTTTATTGTTGATTTTTGTATGATTATGAGTAGCTAAAAACTCAAATATTCTTGGGTCATGGTATTTGAAGCTTCGATTGAAGATCTTGAATCTATCGTTATGGGTTGTTTATTTGATTCTGCTTCTAATTATTTTACTGCGTTAGCTAACAGTGAAATATTATTTACGAATATTGAGTTAAACTTGAAAAAGGAAATTCTTGATTGCATAT